CTCCATTCAGTCTCCTTTTTCATGAGGGGAGATGTTCCATATTCCTCTCAGGGTATTTGGGTGTGTTTGCTTTGCACATATTATTGGTCCTCACCGCTCGAAACTTGACCGAAGGCAAAGAAGTGTGTGTTCCTTGGATATGCAGAAAATCAGAAAGGGTACTGCTTCTATGATCCAGTCTCTGGGAGTCGGTATGTTACTATGGATGTCACTTTTTTTTAGTCCACATTCTTCTTCTCGAAGAATCCTTCTTAGGGGGAGTGTTTTGGGGAAGCAAGTGAGCAGTCTATTCCCCGTCCAGTTCTAGTTCCTGTGTCAACTCCTGTGTCTGATCCTCCTATGTCACCTACCTTACCTCCTCCCTTGCGTCCTGCTTCTCAGTGTTACTCACGACAGAGACTTTATAGGGAGGTTGATTCCACTACAACAGAACTCACATCACTTCTTGTTGGTTCCTTGGAGACTCCAGATTCAACTGATATGGATTCAGGTATTCCTCTTGATCCCACTACTGTTTCAGTTCCCATTGATTCTACTAATCCCATTACAGATAACCTGGACCTTCCTATTGCTCTCAGAAAAGGGAAGAGAAAGTGTATTACTCATTATATCTCACAGTATCTATCCTACAGTGAACTTTCTCCTTCTTATCGTGCTTTCCTTTCCTCTCTTGACTTTGTGTCTATACCCAAGGGTGTCAGTGAGGCTCTCTCCATACCCGAGTGGAAGACAACCATGTAGGAAGGGATGGAAGCTTTAATTAAGAATCAGACATGGGAAATTGTGGATCTACTAGAGGGCAAGGAGACTGTTGGATGCAGATGGGTTTACACAGTCAAATATAAGGCAGATGGAAGTATAAGGCCAGACTTGTTGCAAAAGGGTACACACTGACCTATGACATTGATTACTTAGAGACCTTTGCAACAGTTGCAAAGAGGACTTCTGTTCGGATACTTCTTTCTCTTGCTGCCACACTCTTGGCCCCTATTTCAACTTGATGTGAAGAATGCCTTTCTAAATGGAGATTTGCAAGAGGAAGTGTATATGGACCTTCCTGCTGGTTTCTACAATGATGCTAAAGAGGGAAAGGTATGCAGATTTAAGAAGTTACTTTATGGCTTAAAGTAGTCTCCCAGAGCATGGTTTGACAGGTTCAGGAAGGCCTTGGTTGCTTTTGGCTACACTCAGACTCAATTTGACCATACCTTGTTTGTGAAGCGGAGGGGATCCTTGGTGTCAGTCCTAATTGTTTATGTGAATGATATTGTTGTCATAGGGAATGACCTAAGTGATATTGATAGTTTGGAGAAGAATCTACGTAGAGAATTTGAAACTAAGGATCTTGGAGAACTTAGGTACTTCTTAGGCATTGAAGTTGCAAGATCAAAATATGGAATTTTTATTTCTCAGAGGAAGTATGTTTTGAATCTTCTACAAGAAACATGGAGGCTTGGAACAAAGGCATTCAACACTCCTATTGATCAGAATCACAGAATTAATGCATCAGAAGGCGAGCTGGTAAAAGACATTGAGAGATAGCAGAGACTTGTGGGGCGGCTGCTATACTTGTGTATGACAAAACCAGACATTTCCTATGCAGTAAGTGTGGTAAGTCAATACATGCATGTTGCACGAGTCCAGCATTGGGAGGCTATTGACAGGATTCTTGCTTATTTGAAGGGACACCTGGGTTGAGGCATATTGTTTGCCGAACATGGACAGTTGAAACTAGAGGCTTATACAGGTGTTGATTGGGCAGGATGCCTTGATGACAGGAGATCTACTTCAAGAGTATGCACCCTTGTTGGGGGTAACCTTGTCTCGTGGAAAAGTAAGAAACAGACAGTGGTGGCAAGATCAAGTGCAGAAGCAGAATATAGGGCTATGGCACATGGAGTTTCAGAACTTCTTTGGATCCGTTCCCTGTTAGGAGAGATTGGTGTAAAGGCAGAAGAAGCTATGATGCTGTACTGTGATAATCAAGTAGCAATTAACATTGCCCATAACCCAGTTTAGCATGATCGGACAGAGCACATTGAAGTGGATAGACACTTCATCAGAAAAAGGGTGACTTCTAGGAAAGTTTGTCTCCCATACATTGCTTCTGATCTGCAGCTTGCTGATGTTCTCACAAAAGGTGCTGCAAGAAACAAGCTGGAGCATGATCTATGCAAGTTGGAAATGTGTGACATTTACTCCCAACTTGAGGGGGAGTGTTGAGTTGTTCCGATTTCTAGTTATTGGCCCGGTTATTTATTTATTTCTAGTTATTGGCCCCATTAGTTTTTGTTTTTAAGTTGTAACTGTTCAGCTACTTAAGTTGCCGCCCTAGTAAGGTCATTCTTGTAATCTCTTATTCTTTTAAGTTGAGTATATAATACAAAGAGAGGTTGGTGGCCAGAACGAATTCAATTCTAGTTGACATTCTACTCCTTTTCTTCTCCTCTTTTTTTCTCTACTGCTGAAACTCTTCACCTTCTTCTTTATCTTCACAAGGAATTTATCCAAAATTGCAATCTGTGATTTCTACTTGCTGCTTCAACATCTATGAGGCAGCAGGTGTGTAAGACCTGGTCCCCTCCAACAGAGGGTTGGAAGAAGCTAAACTTCGATGGGAGTTTAACCCAGGCCTCTCAGGTATTGGAGGGGCCATTAGAAATGAAAATGGTTTCATTATTGCTCTGTTCTCCGGTCTTGTGGAGGAGGGTGATGTGGCTAGGGAAGAGCTTCTAGCTGTAGTATATGGGGTTGAGAAGGCCAAAGAGTTGGGGATTAATAGACTGATCATCGAGGGAGATTAAAAAATTGTGATAAAATGGTTGTAGAAAGGGGAAGGAGTGACCTGGCAGCTGAAGAATGATTTCAGAAGGTTCAAATGGATGTCAAGGAATATGTCGATTCAGGTGGGTTGGGTTAGGAGATCGGCCAACAGTTTGGCTGATAGCTTAGCAAAGCAAGGGGTTCAAAGAACATATTTGTTTTGGGCACATTTGTAATTCTGTCCTGTGTCAGCTTCTATGCTGATATCTTTGCAACTTCTTGTTGTATCCTAAAGCATTTTAATTAATGAAAATTTTCAGAGTTATTGATAAAAAAAAAGATTCTCATAGGTGTACAAACCATCTAGTATGGGGAAGACCGGATAGTGTACTACAAACTTAAAAACCGTCTAACATTGAAAAGATCGGATGATTGCTTGCAATTTTGGAACATCATTTGTAGTTGCAAACATTTGTTCCCCAGATGATCTTGTTGTAGTTACACCATCAAATACACCTAGAACACAATAATCCACAAGGTTCTGTACAATTCTCAAAAGTGTATAGACCATCCAGTATAGTGGGAGACCGGATGGTGTTTTATAGATTTAGAAACCATCTGGAATTACACAAGCCGGATGGTGTTTCACCATATTAGCAAGGAAGCTTCATCTTCCCCGATCATTTGAGATGAGCAGTGTGCGCCTTCACAAACTCATGAGGCAAAACATCCTTCACAAACTCTAGCGATCTCCATGACTACAACAACACGTAGAGTTGTGAGACAACAATGAACTTCTAGGGTTTTTACTGTCTAGGAAGCGTAGAGGGCATTCTTGTAGGAGATATTTGTGGTTGGCTACACAAATCCTATCTCCCCATAGTAAAGAGCTCGAACCATATTTTTTGCAAATATAGAAGCCTCTAGCTTCATTTCAACATACAAGAAAAATACCAAAAAAATGATAGAGAAATAAACAAATACCATAACAAAGTGAGAAGAGGGAGATACAAAGAAAGACACAGAAGACTGAGACAATGAAAGAACGAAAGCAAAGTTTGGCCTAATGGCCTAATGGGTGGGATTTTAATAAGGGGCAATTTGGCAAAAAATAATAAGCTTTTCGTATGACTCGTTGTTTTTGAATTGTTAAGGTATCTGATTTTGTCAATAGTCGTAACTCTATTAATTTTTATGCGAAAAGCCCATATAGATAAGTATATTTAAATTACAACATATGAACTATTTAATATTAAAGAGCATCTATCAAATCTACTAATCAACATTTATATCAGAAAATGGTTTTTAATTTAGAAAAATTATAGAAACAAAAATATTAATAATGGAATAATTATTAGTAATTAAAAATTTCCATATGATATGCGTCTTAGAAATTTTAATAGATCTGATATATTTTAAATTGAGATTATATATTTTTATAAATTATTAATTGATGTTTTCATTTGCATTTGAGAATTCAATATTTGGTTGAGTTTCTTGTTAATGTAAAAATGGTAAAATAGAAAAAAAGTGATATAACAATTAAAATATAATATGTGCATACATTATGTGTCTTGGACTCTTGATGGATGCATTATCAATAAAACTGTATGATATCTATGCATCCTGTTATATTAATTATAATATATTCTTTCATATATACCATTAAAATATACATTTCCTATGTATTTATACATTATTTGTGGCTATTTGATTTTAAATTTAGTGTTATTTATGTATTTATGGAATTTGTTTGTGTTTCCCTAGTGTATCCAAGCGTTTTCTTTATTTTTCGTTCGTATCCTTGCATTTCCATAGTGCATCTGTATCTAAGTTGTCCAATACGATACCTGATACTGATACTTTGGTCCTTGATTTGGGCTTGGGATTGGCAGTGCAAGACAAGCTCATGCTAGCAAAGTTTTCTATTGTCATGATATATTATAATATGTTTTTATTGCATAATTTGGTGTATTAAATTTATTAAAGTAAATAATGTGTTGGGCCTTCAGTTGTCATTTCTGCATCACAAGTATTTATAGCTATCTTTTCTTTGAAGGGATTTTTTAGAAGAAAATTCTTGGCATGATTGTGAGTTTGCAGTGATTGACATCCTTTTACTTTTCTTATCTTCCTTCAAAAACTGTTGGGCTCTTGTGTTGGTACCTCATCAGAACAATTTTTTCCTTATAGGTGGTTTCATAATGGATATACTTTGTTCTAATTTTCCTGCACAGGGCACATATCAAGTGGCTAAATGGAATGGAACAAAGGTTGCTGTAAAGATACTTGATAAGGACAGTTATTCAGATCCAGAGAGCATGTACAACATTCTTTTCTTCTTTAAATTGAGTTAGTTCAATTATTGAAAGGGAAAATTTCACCTTGATGTGCTGTGCAATTATCTTTTTAATTATTTAAAACTCCTTAATATATTACTCAACCAGACATCACTCATACAAGAAATAGATGTACAGGATCCTTCAGCTATAGTAATTTTATATCTACTAGAGGAGAGATGATATGAACTGAATAGGATAACATGCATGTCATGTGGTCTGGAGTATCCAAGTCAATAAGCAAGGAATTGGGTGCAGCAATATGATAGGATAAAGAATTACCTAGCTTAGCAAAGGCTGTTGAGGGACCAGCAGGGCCAGGATAACTTGTACTACTACTATCTTCTGGTTTTGTTACATGGTGCCTGAGTCTGTCAATTTCTAGAAGTCAGAAAAGCTATTGATAAAACATCTCCACTTCTAGAACCCTTAAACGTAGAGGTAGATATAGGAGTCTTAGCACTAGTATCCACATGAGCATTGCTCTTCTTTGCTTCATTAAACTTGTCTGGTTTTAACTCATGTAGCTTCAAACATCTATGTTTGGCATGCTTTGTTTTCTTAAAATAATCACATACGACAACATCCACTTATATCACATAATTATCTCCAGGACCACTATTCTACTTGGGCTTAGTAGATATCACTGCAAAGTGTTCAGATGTGTATGAATCTTAGTAGAATAGTAGCCCTATGGCTTTCTTTCTTTTGGCAAGGGAGTTGATAAATTGAATGTGCAAAACTGAAGAAATTTTTAAAAAGTGAAGAATAGAAGGAAGAAGAGTAGAAGAAGGAAGAACTTGTTTGAATAGGGTGTGCTTTCCTCACTTCACACATCCTTTAGCACTTTTATTTATATAAGAAGCTGGAAACTTACAACTATTCCCTTAATCAGCCACCTCTTAATAGGTTAATTACAAAGACAAATATACCCTTGTATTATGGACATCTGTTAACAAAGGGAATATGATATAGAATGTCTAACAACTTTGTTCAAGATGTGCTGTGATGTGAAATCAAACTCAAAGTTTGATCCAGCCAAGGAACCAAACACAATGTGTTTCTCCACATGCTTCCTGTACTGTTAACCATCAAGGTGATCCCTCCATTCTAGAGTCTTTAAGTGCTCTATATCTTCCCACAAAGACTAAAGGGAAGAAAAATGCATTGCCACAAACTTCTCCCCCTATTGAATATTGTTGACTTCCCTATGCAACTACTATGTATTGGCAGTGTTCTGAGCCTGTAAGTATGGCAGTTGCCTTATTCCCAGGTCCTTGGCTGTAGAGAGAAACATGTAGTTCCTTGCATTGTGTGGTTGCATGGAACTAACCAGCCAAAACATGACCATTAAGTTCTCTTGAGCCCACTTTGAGTAATTGAGATTTGAGATTATTTGACTGGGGTTGCTTCTCTCTTCCTGTGTGAAATAACCCATCCTTCCATGACTCCCAAATGTACATTTTTGTGAACTCAGACCATTCCAGGAAATTGCTGCTATCAGGTTTCATAGTCAATAATCTTGGTATAAAAAGAGGGGTAAACAATCCAACGGATTTGGTTCTGATTGAGATTAAACCAAGTCTGGATTAGCCACAAATATCAGGCAAATCAAATAGATCAACAACCGCTGTTCAAAAAACCCCATATAACAGGAAAGCTGGTTTGGAATATGATAGAGCAGTTGTTTTTTGGTGTATTTGGCAAGAGAGAAATGGCAGATTTTTTAAAAACATGGGAGGAGCTGTAGATTCTGTTTTTCAAAAAAATACTGGGCAAAATGTTTGCTTGGTTGGAAAAATGTTATTTGGTCCTGTGTACTGCTTGTTGTACAGTGACTTCTTTTTTATGATAGATTAATGAAATACATACTTCACCTTTTCTCCAAAAAAGAAAAAACATATACAGATGGATCAATCAAGAGATCAGATCTGCGTTCTTTTGACTTTTACAACAAAAATCTAAAAAAACATGATGACAGTCTCCAGTGAGTCTGAAAGAAAATGTGTCTAAAATTGCATACTATCAAGATCTTGGGTTTTCTTCTCATGAAGGTTGAATTAACCATATGACATGCTGATGTCAGCAATTGGCATTGATGATGCCAGTAGTCTGACAAGCTCTTAGCAATCAGTCTTTGATCTTGAGGTGCTCCAATACCTACTTGAGATTTGTAAATTGATTTGATAAGGTATTGTGGTTGAAGGAAAGAGAGTACAAGATGAGAGAAGAAGAAAGTAGAAAGAAATTGAATGAGAGGCTGAAATTATTGGGCGTGGCCATCTCATTAGCATTTATACTAATAGATGAAATTTAACATTTAAGTCCATCATTAGTATAAAGTAATGATTGCTCTCTGTATGTGCAATGGTTGGGTTGCTCCATTGCGATCTGGGTGACCAGTGTTCAAATCTTGAGAACAGCTTCTCTGTGTGCAGGGGTGACCCCACATTGGCAGGAGCCTCTTTTTTGATAGGTAAAGGAAATATTCATTAATTAATTAAACCAAAAAGTATACAAACGGGCATCCCAAAATGAGGCGCAAGATGCAGCCTCAAGTATAAATCAACTTACAATTGAGCCCAAAACATAGCTTCCCTAAATACCCTGTGCTTAGCTAGAGAATCTGCTAAGCCATTAGCCGACCTCCTTTACCAAAGAATCCTTACAGTCATATTAGAAGTTAACCATTTGAATTTTTTCACAGATTCCCTGTAGGTCCAAATAACAGAGTCTGGATCTATCAGCGACCCTACTATCAGCTTAGAATCCCCCTCACTTATCAATCTGTCCACATTTAATTGTCTTGCAAGCTGCACCCCCTACAGTACTTCTTGGAATTCAGCAAAGATAGAGTCCCCCAGACCAAGCGGGCCTGAAAGAAGAGCAATTATATACCCTCCTTCATCCCTTAGCACACTCTCTACACGTGAAGGCCCTGGATTTCCAAGACTACTGTCATCATAGTTTAGTTTTAGGAACCCTTCTTCAGGGGGAACCCATACTGGATTAGGCTTGACTTCAGCATCTGAACAGTTTACCACAGCTCCCCAATTCTGCCAAATATCATCAAAGGAGAAGAGGGAAAACAGCTCTATAGTTTTAATCCAATGTACCCTAGTTTTCAGACAACCCCACACAGAACCTCCAAATTTCTTACTTTATCATTGAAAATTCTAGCACTCCTTTCTTCCCAAATGGTTCAAATCAGCGCAGCTCTGGCACATCTCCACAAAATGCTGTCCCACTGCTTAGACCAGCTGAAGGAAGAAGGGTCAAAAAGGCCCTGTCACATTGGCGGGAGCATTGTGCATTGGGCTGCCCTTTTATTAGTATAAAGTAAAAGTAAGACAAATTTCCCTTAAAGAAGCACCCCTCAACATTTGTTGAAGTTCTCCACTCATATTGGACTGGTATACACCATTGAGTCCCTAAAGTTGTTGCTAATTTTGTCAAAGCGAAGCCTCCCAAAAGATGAGTTCAAATTCTCATGTTTTTCTTTTTTGGATAGACTGAATTTTCTTTTCCTACCATCTGGTTCTGCTTTCTGCCAAGTGTCAAAGCATAAGATTGAATTGAAAGCTGTTAAATGGTGTGATTACTGCTTCTCATTATTTGATGATTTTGGGAACATGTAATTTCCTGGTTTCTTATTCTGTTCCCCTCCTTTGCATCCATGTTGATATCAGTGCTGTGTTCAACTGGGCTTAGTTCCATCTACTTTATATGCTGGTTGGCAACTTCTGCAATGAGCTATGAAACTCCTACTATGGTATTTTTTCATGTTATTCTCAGTACCATGAATAGCTTGGTACTTGGGTGGTCCATTGTTGTAATGAGAAAAAATCTTACAGACAGTTTGATATTTTGGTAAAGCTGATTGTTTTATCATCAGTTTATTCTTACTGATGACTTTTTGTAAATCTGGGGCTGATTGTTGGTGTTGTGGTGGGAGCAATTTCCTTGGGAAAGTTTTGGTCTTCCTTTATTACATTAGGATTTCTAGTGCAATTACTCAGGTTCTCTTACCTTTGTATGTTGTATTGTCTTGTTAGCCTGTAGTCATTCTTTTAATTTTCTTAATATTTTTTTCTTGTATATGATTGGAAAAAGGTAGAATCTCATGGAAGGATCTAGATATATACTCAAATCCGTGATACTTGTCTTAGAACATCAATTAAATTGGAAATGCTCTTTGTAACCTTTCTGGTGTGTGTTTTGGGTCAGTGTAACTGCTCTCAGTTACTGTTACAGAAAACATCGGAATGTACACTTAAGGTTAAATCTCATAGAAGAGTTTGAGTAGGTTCAGGGAAGATCTTATAAATATATTTGGAGTATTAAATCTACAGTCTTCACATTTTAAGAAAAGTTCAATGCTAAATACAATTCCTATGTTTGAGTAAGTTCAATGCTCTTTGTAACCTTTCTGGTGTGTGTTTTGGGTCAGTGTAACTGCTCTCAGTTACTATTACCGAAAACATTGGAATGTACTTAAGGTTAAATCTCATAGAAGGGTTTGAGTAAGTTCAGGGAAGATCTTATAAATATATTTGGAGTATTAAATCTACAGTCTTCACATTTTAAGAAAAGTTCAATGCTAAATACAATTCCTATGTTTCTTGGTTTATGAACTAAAAGGCTTGATGACTTTTTCCAGTCTAAACAAGTGACATCTGAATATTGTATTGTATTTCTTGTAGCAAGAAGCTCCTTATTGTTAGGCAAACTATATAATTTTGTTGTGGTATTACTTTCTGTTGAATGCTTATGGCTTTTAGTGTTTGCCTCTCACCAACAGATTCTGCAATGAGTTGGTTTAGAAATTTTTCATGGGGAAGTTTGTAAAATACTAGAATGTTAACTTTTAACTAGACTGATCCTTTTTTTCATTTACTTTGACTGTTAATCCTCTTCTACATCCTTTATTGGACAGAAATGCTTTTAAACATGAACTGACGTTGTTAGAGAAAGTTCGGCATCCCAATGTTGTCCAGTTTGTTGGAGCTGTTACGCAGAATATACCAATGATGATTGTTTCAGAGTACCATCCAAAAGTAAGAAGATTATTTTTTATAGATCAATATGCAGCTGGTGAATAAAAAAACAAAAAAGAGTGAGAGACAAGCTATATGACAAAATGAAAGCAAATATCACAATCTACACAGGACTCAAACCTAGATTTCTGGATATATTTCCACTACCTTACTAATTAGCTTTCGGACTACATTTATATTCTGTTTCTTCAAGAGTTCTCAGCTTCTGTTAAGTTTCCTTATGAAATGGCATATGTATAGTTCTAAAGTTCCCAATCTTCACCGATCATTGATTCTATTCATCTCAACTACATTGTTGACCCATTTTACTTTATCAAAGGCAATCTCCATTGTTGAATTGAGTTGAGGTCATTTTACAAATTTCAATGATTTAATATCCTGTTTCACTGGTTATATTATTAAAGTCCTGGAGTCTTGGTTGTCACTGTTCCTTGAGAGCTCATGCTTATGCTTACTTCCCGAGGTCCAACTACCTCATACTTTAGCCTTTAAAAAGCATCACTTTGAGCATATGTTCTTTATTAGCCTTTAAAAAGCATCACTTTGACCATATGTTATTAAAGTCTTTGAGTCTTGCTTATGACTATGCATTGAGAGCTCATGCTTATGCTTACTTCCTGAGGTCCAACTACCTCAAACTTTAGCCTTTAAAAAGCATCACTTTGACCATATGTTCTTTATTAGATCTTTAATCATTAGGTACTGGTTCTCATCTTATGGTCAATTTCCAGGGTGACCTTGGAAGCTATATTCAAAAGAAAGGGCGTCTATCACCATCTAAAGCTTTAAAATTTGCTCTTGATATTTCTAGGTAAGTTATTTTCTTTTGCAGATTCAGAAATTTTCCTTTTATTTCCAGGATATTCCTTCTGTATCCTTTTTTTTTTTTGTAGAATATGTGCCCATGTTATTACCTTCAAATTTCCTCTGAAGTTTTCTCTAATAACTGTCTTAATACCTTCAGTCACTAGGTTATCCAATTTGAATGTTCTTTCTTTTTTTTTTCTTCAGGGGCATGAACTATCTTCATGAATGCAAGACAGGCCCAATTATTCATTGTGATTTAAAGCCAAAGTAAGACAACCAAATGAGAGAGTTAATTAATTTCATTATGTAGAGCAGTTAGGAAATCAAAATTTTTTACTTTGTATTCATAGTGGTGATGTACTGTTCTTTACTATTTGAAGTTTTGGTAAGGTGCCAGAAATATTTTGCTGGATAGTGGAGACCATTTGAAGGTCACAGGATTTGGCTTGATAAAATTGTCAAAAATTTCACCTGACAAAGCAAAACTTGCACATCCAGGGGCTCTTGTTGATCCTTCAAGTAAGTTCCTTTTATATGCCTTGACTGTAACATTAGTCCGGACAGAGATTGGAATTCCTGCAAACAAAAACTCTGCACACACTCTGCAAGCACAGGGATCCAGCCACACATTGGGAGAATCTCCCTATGAATTTAACATACATATATACGGGAGATATTCTGAATGTGCGGCCGGATGCCATGTATACAGAGTTTTTGCTTGCAGGAGATCTGGACTCCTGTGGACAAGTCCCTTCTGAAGCAGAGTTTTTTTTTCACTCCATAAAAAAATCTGGCATATTAGATGTCTTTCTTTCAGACAGTTAACATAACCTTTAATTTGACCTTTAACCAATGATTTTATCAATTTCGGCAAAAGAATAATATTTACTATATGCCTAGCATCCTTGGTATAAACTGGAGAACCATCTAACCCTTTGTTCAATCCATTACTTTACATTAGTGCCAAGAAAAATTGTTCCCTATTGTCTCCTTGCTTGGCTAAGTATTATATTCACTGAAAGTTGGTTAAAATCTTCACTGGAATTCATAGTATGTTCTTTTAGTGTCCATGATAATGATTTTCTCTGCTTCACTTAATCAAGCTATTAAGCTTCATTGGTTGGTAAGGTCTCTTTCTGGTTGTAGTGGAGACTTGGGAACGAATCCCGCCTGTGCCTGGGTTTGGGGGGAGAGGGGTGGTCTATGGGTTTGGGAGATGGGCTACCCCCGTTGTGTAGCCCTTTGAAGCAAAAAAAAAAAAAAAAATCAAACTATTAAGTTTCGTAAGTGATGTGTTTCAGCTTTTTATTTCTCTTTTTTCAATATTTTAGTGAAAGTGTTCAAATATTGGTAGGACAAAAGGAGGGAAAGATGTGGCTCATCAAGGGGTTAATTTGGTGGCACCTTGGTCTCAGATCCCAATGAATCAGGCTTCAATACCACTCAGGTTAGATTTTAACTTGTAGATGGGAATGGGGTATGTTCCAGTCATTCTTTATCTGCAGTGGATGTTGACTTGGCTATGGAAGGATGGGTAGGGGAGTTTAGAAGATATGATGGGTTGAGCAGTAATAGGAGGGAAACTATTGGTTGATTTACAAGTGAAAGATGGTCTTGTAAATTGTTCCTTTCCTGTTTTGGTGAATCAACCTCAACCTTTAGAAGTCTTGGAAGGAAGTGTGGCTGGTAGCGAATCAGGGGAGATGACGATGGTGGAAGAGGATAAAGGAGGTGGGCTTCCTGAGTCTCAGTTGTGTAGTACTGTGGATATGTTGTTGATAAAAGGGTTAGATTTGCTGATATCCTAGTGGGAATTTTGGAGGAAGATTTAGGCAGATTCAGATATAGAGATAATCCCTATTCATACAGATTAGAACATTCTCTTAATTGGGAGTTCAGTTACACTTGTCAAAGACCTGATGCTGAAGGAAAATTGCGGCAATTGGTTGAAATTAGTTAGAGGTGTTAAGAATCACCACCTGGTTCATATCACTGACATTTTCTCACATTTATGGAGCAACTTATGGGGTCCAGGCCCAAGTAGCAAGTTTAAGGTCTATAAGAGGAAAGGTGGTAGGAGTTTTTTGTGTTCTGTTGGCACACCTGGGAAATTGAGTTTTGATCACTATTCTAAAAGAAAGTTGTGTGGAGAGGACACTATTGTGATGATCAGAAAATACACTTGCTGATGGCTAACCTAGATCACTGGTGGGTAGAGTCGAAGAGATGACAATATTGGGTGTTGATGTCCTATAGGGGCTGGAATGTTGGTGCATACTTATTTTCTTTTAGCATCTATACCTCTGTCTAGCCTTTGAGGAAGGCTTGGTTTGGCACGTGGAATGAGTATTTTATATTTTGTATTCCTAATACTGTACTTTGTGATTGTTTCTATAAAATTCATTTGTTACTGCCTGGGGGTTGGCTTGAATTCCAAGCCATAATCATGTCTTGTTAAGGAGGAGGTTTGGAGAGCCACAGTTTAATTACTTAGATTTTAAGGAAAAAGGTGTATATCAGTTTTTGTTATTGGTAACCAAATTGGATTTCTTATGGGTTATTGTCTTGAGAGGTAAGGATAGGCTTGAGAAGTTATAACCATATTTTTTGTGGCTTTTCAATAGGGTGGCTTTAGGTCTGCCACCTGGTTATGAGTTTTGGGGTTTTACTGGTTTTCTGCCTCAGTTTTTGGATTCTTAGAATTTCATGTGAGGATCCTCTTCTGAAGTGCAAAAGCAACTTTTGGCTTTATCAAAGTTTCCCTTAGGAAGAATGTCTCTATTTTTTGGATGTTTCTCATGCTCATCACATTATTATTGGATTTTTTTTTATCTTCTTCACCCATGGATGTAAGCATCTTGTCAAACCACATAAATGCTTGTTTTTTTAAGTGTTCTGTTATTTTCTATGGTTTTTTCTCTATTTTTATTGCCATCAAACACATAAAATTGTTTCTGCACACCAAGGGGTATAAGAGCTCCATGTTTCTATGAAGGTTTTGACCAAAATTTCCCAGGTGAGGAAATTTGGCAAAGAGAACTTTGGTTCTAAGGACAAACCAAAATTTCAGATATATTAATACAGTGAGTTCTACACAAGGTGTGGGTGGAGTTGATGTAGAAAAGGATGACCATAGCTATTTCTGCAAAATTTTTAAAGATCAGCTTGGGCTTGATCAGTGAGATGGTTGGTGGTCATACCCTGTTGAGTTATGAGAATACAGAAGAGTATCTTAATTAATGGAATTCAAATCATGATGGATAAGTTGCCTTGTCATCATCAAATCTGGGAATGTAATCAAGTAGGGATACATATAATGGGAGCTTACTTTTATTAAATGCCTATTTTGAGCCATGATACATGCTTGGTATGTGGATATAATGTTATTGTAAGAGGATTGACTCCATTGAGGTGGTGGTTGAGCCTCTGAAGGTCCAAGGCAATGGCAGTTATAAAGAGATGGTGGGAGAGAGAGGAAGGAAGAGAAAGAATCTAGATTTTCTTACCCATTTGGGCATGGAGCCCTTCTTTATATTATTTTCTCTTGAATTCTTAATGAGTTTTCTAGAATATTCTTTAAAAGTTATGGTAGCACAAGTGGCCAGCTATATCATGTACCTAGCAAATGGCTTGGCTTTGGATTGGACTGGCCCGGCTTGGTACGGGTTCATGCCAGGCCAATGATGTTCATGGACTTTTATAAACTGATTGTCTTATAGTTTTAACACTTATGAAGTGGCAGAAATGAGTTGTGCACAGGCATCGACTTGATTGAGAGTTCACATTGGCAAGATAACCTTGATGAGGTAATAGGCATTTATCCATGGCTTCACAAGGCCCTCTTTTTCCATGCATATTCTGAATTTTTATGTAGTAGTTGGCTTGATAAGTAGGTTTACCATCTTGTGGGCACCCTGGTTCATCATATTAGAAACTGCAACTTGGTGATGTAGGACAAGGTAGGGGTCTTGCAAATTTCAGGTCTGGTAGTGGGCTTTGTGTGGTGATAAAGTGATGAACAGAGATGCAGAAGTGAGTAGACAGCTTGATATCAATAAAAAATGAGCAAAAGATTAGAAAGAAGGAGAAGGTTTCTTGCTGTTATAGTAAACAGAAATGAGATAGGTCACTTAGAGAAGAAATAAGTGAGAGGGAAATAAGAGAAATTCCTGGAAACAACTATAATTCACTAAACCAAAATTAATTTCATTAAATCAATTATTCTAAACTGCAACTACAATCTTATAGACTCTCCATGGAAACTGAGATGTCCTTTTCCAGACTCCAATTTGGTCTAGCAAACTAACCCAAAACTTGTAAATTCTAATTGCTTTTACAACTAAGAAAAATTGATAGGTAATTGATAGTGACAGTCAAATAAGCACTCTAAACTTGTAAGCAACTTCAATAACACTTCACCAATCCTACTGAAACTAACTTATCATAAAGAAACTAGAAATTACCAAAAATTGTAAATTATGATTGTACTATGTTGAGTTTTGGGCTGATATCACTTGTTTTTTATTTACATAGCATAGTTAGGGAGTTATTGGGCCCAAGGCTCATTGGTTTATGTTTAAGTTAAGAGTGTTTATTTAGATTTTACAAGTAGCCGACTTACTAAGGGTATACTTGTCTTTGTATTCAGCTTTTATTTGTGAGTATATAAGCTAATGAAAGGGGTGGCTAGACCTACTTTTGGCTTCTCCCATTCTCTTCAACTTCTCTCCTCTTTTCTTCTCTGCATAAATCTTCTCTTCTCTTCTCTTTCCTTTTCTCTTTCTTACACAGTTTTTATATCAAAACAGATTTTCTAAACTTTTCTACTTGGTATTAGAGCTAGTTTAGAGATTGTTTGAGCTGTTCCGTTATGCAGCCCTAGATCAACCGACTACATGATGAGGTAAAGAGCTGATCGAGGACTTCAAGTAAGCCCAGTTTTTGGATTTTTTGGTGGATTTGCAATCCCTTGTAGCTGGTCTAGGGTTTAGCACCAAAATCAGGAAGAACTGGAGAAAGGGGAAGAGTCTTGATTTAGTAGGACTCTTCAATTCTAACCTAGGAAGTGGCGCTCTGGTTTTTTAGGGGTTCTTGAGGTTTTCTGAAGAGGGCAGTTCAAGTCCCAGCCTTTTGGAGGCCTCTAGAGGGAGCGGTAATCTCTTCTCTTTCTTCTCCTGCTCCCACGAAAAAGGGAATCTTTGGAGAGAGGGGATTCTAGGGTACCGAGAAGGTGTTTGAGGTTTCTAAAGGAGATAAATTTCTTTCTTCTCATTTCAAATTGATTTCCTAATCTGTTCTGGGAGTTATGGAGGGTTGTGGAGTTGAAAACAAATTTGCAGGTGAAATGTAACCAAGGGAAGGAGGTGATGATGATATCTTCGAGGCTAGGACTGTCACTACAGTCAAGTTGGATGGTACAAACTACTTAGAATGGTCATAATCTGCAAAGATGGCCATTAGAGCTCGTGGGAAATTGGGGTATGTCATCGGTGAAGAAAAGAAAACTGAGACTAACTAGTCCCTATGGGTACAGGAGAACTACATGGTGATGACTTGGCTGTGCAATTCCATGTTACCTCATATAATAAGAACTTTTTATGGGCTAACACAGCTAAGGAGATTTGGGATGGTGTAGTAAAAACTTATTCACAGAATGAGAATGTTGCTAGAGTTTACTAGTTGAGAAACAAGGTGATTGCTACTAGGTAGGAAGGTACGTCTGTTGCCATTTATTTTTCAGCCCTCAAAACCTTATAGTAGGAGATAGATCATTTGGAGATTGTGGTTTGGGAAAGTAGAAAAGATGCAACAACTTATCAGAAATTAGTAGAGAAGAATAGGGTTTTTGAGTTTCTAGCAGGACTTAATCCTGAATATGACATTGCATGATAACATATTATTTCCCGTGACTGTGTATGGAAAGGGGAATAGGAGGAGTGTGATTATGAGGAACCCAGGCGTTAAGCAGTCAGTTATGGTTAGCATAGTGAAGCTTAAGCCGAATGGGGATAAGGGTGAAAATGAACCAAGGAAGGAGGACAAGAAGGATCTGATCTATGACTAATGTAAGAAACCTAAACATACTAGAGATACCTATTCGAAGCCTTACCTACACCTTATACCAAGCCGGCTTAAAAACAAGAAGGGAAATGTAAATATGGCAGTAACTGGTGATTTATTAGGACCACCTACTATAGTTTCTCTAGGGTCTATTGCAACAGCTACAGTGAGGGCCGAATTGGAGAGATATGGGTAGCCATCCTACTTCGTTGTCAGGTGGACAACAAGGTGCTGGTGGATCAGGAGATAGCCATCCTATTTCGTTTGCACATATAGGTAGTTCATATGCCACTGCAAATTATGCATCCACTATAGGTAAAGGGGGACCTCCCTGGATTATAGACTTAGGAGCCTTAGAACATATGACCAACATTTCCACCAACTTCTCCTCTTACCACCTTTGCTCTAATAGAGATAGAGTTTCTACAGTCAGGATCACATGTTCCCATTGCTGGGAAAGGGTCTATTAAGTTAACTGACACCGTTACCCTACCTTTTGTCCTTCATATCCCTAGACTGAGCACTAATCTTTTATTTGTTAGTAGCTTGACAAATAATTTGAATTATTTAGTGATTTTTTCTCCTGGTCATTGTGTTTTGTAGGATCTAGAATCAAAGAGGACGATTGGGAGTGGTCATGAGGTGAATGGAATCTATCTTCTTGATGTGCTTTCCAGTCATTAGAGTTGTCATTTCAGCAAGAACATTGAGTCAGAGCCAATGGGTTAGATTATGCTTTGGCACAGTCGGTTAGGGCATTTGTCTTTTGCTTCTTTGCATTTTTTGTATCCAATATTGTTTGTCTATCAGTTTGTCCAGCTTGGAGTGTGAGGGTTGCCAATTTCAAAAGCATTGTAGACATTACTTTAAAGCAAGCAATAAAAGATGTTCTTTTGTTTTTGATATCGTTCATATTGATTGGGGGGGGGGGCGGTATACCACATTTCCTCTATGGGTTGTTATCGGTATTTTCTTTTGTTTGTGGATGATTATTCTTGATACTCTTGGATATATTTGATGAGATCTCGTGATGAGGTACCACGTTTGGTTCAACAATTCCATCAGATGGTGCTAACACAGTTTGGGGTACGAGTGGAAGTGTTTAGATCGGATAATGTTAGGGAATACTTTGAAAAAAAACTAGCATCATACCTATTGGAGCATGGAATAATCCATTAGAGGAGTTGTGCATACACTCCACAAAGAATGGTGTAATAGGAAGGAAGAACAAACATATTGTGGAAGTAGCAAGAAGCATGGTGTTGAGCTCTAGAGTTCTAGTTCGTTTTTGGGGTGATGCAGTTCTTACAGTAGTTTTTTTGATTAATCGGGTGCCTTCTCGTGTTCTTGGATATAGCACTCCATTCAACCTTCTTTTTCCCGAGGGAAAGGTTTCATATTCCTCTAAGGGTTTTTGGATGTGTATGCTTTGTTCATGTTCTTGGTCCTCACCTCTTAAAGCTAAACCCTAAGGTGAAGAAATGTGTCTTCCTTGGGTATGTAGGAAATTAGAAGGGGTATTGTTGTTATGATCCAGTCTCTGGGAGTTGGTATGTTACTATGGGTGTCACATTTTTTGAGTTCACACCTTTTTTCTCGGGGGGTTCTTCTTAGGGGGAGTGTTTTGGGGAAGGAAGTGATCCATCTATAGTTCTATAACACTTCCTGTTCTATCTCCTTTGTCCAATCCAATGTCTGACCCACCTACTCCACCCACTTTGTCACCTCGATTATGTCCTGCCTCTCAATGTTTTACAAGACAACGCTTACGACAACATAGAGAGGTTGATTCCACAACAAAAAAACCCACGTCACTCCCTATCAGCTCACCAGAGATTCCAGGTTCAATTGACACAAATCCAAGCGTGCCTCTTGTTTCCTCTAATGGTTTAGTTCCTGTTGATACTACTACCCCTACTCCTAACACCATTGCAGATAACCTAGGTCTCCTTATTGCACATCGAAAAGGGAAGTGTATTGCTCATTCATCTCACACTATCTTTCCTATAGTGGATTATCTCCTTCTTACCAGGCCTTCCTTTCCTCCCTCAACTCCATGTTTATACCCTAGAGTGTTAGTGAGGCTCTCTCCAAACTTGAGTGGAAGAGCTATGCGGGAGGAAATGAAAGCACTAATTAAAAAAATTAGACATGGGAGATTGTGGATTTACCTAATGGCAAGGAGACAATTGGATGTAGATGGGTTTATACAGTGAAGTATAAGGCTGATGGAAGGATAGAAAGGTACAAGGCAAGGCTGGTTGCAAAAGGGTACATTCAGATTATGGCATAGATTACTTGGAGACTTTTGCACTAGTGGCAAAAATGAACTCTGCCTGGATTCTTCTATCACTAACAACTACATACTCTTGGCTACTCTTCCAACTTGATGTAAAGAATGCTTTTCTTAATGAAGACTTGCAGGAGGAGGTGTACATGGATCTTCCAACTGGTTTTTACAATGATCTGGATAAAGGAAAGGCATGTAGATTGAAGAAGTCTCTATATGGTTTGAAGCAATCACCCAGAGCTTGATTTGGCAGGTTTAGAAGTGCATTGGTTGTATTTGGCTATACTCAAACTTAATCTGATCATACTCTTTTTGTAAAAAGGAGGGGGTCATTGGTGTCAGTTTTGATAGTATATGTAAATAACATTGTAGTCATAGTAAATGATCTGAGAGAGATTGATACCTTGAAGAAGAACCTGCACAAAATGTTTGAGATTAGGGATCTTGGGGAGCTGAAGTACTTTCTGGGCATTGAGGTGGCAAGGTCCAAGCATGGAGATCTTCATCTTACAAAGGAAGTGTGTTTTTGACCTATTACAGGAGACAGGAAAACTTGGGGCAAGGGCAGCTAATACACCTATTGATTGGAACCACAAGATAAATGCTTTAGAAGGTGAGCTAGTGTAGGATGTTGGAAGGTATCAGAGATTAGTGGGCCGGTTGCTATACTTATGTATGGCACGACTAGACATCTCTTACAAAAAGCTTACAAACCCTAGTCATAATACACCTGCAACTTCAGTAAAAGAATTGCATCTTAAGTGGACCCAACTTTTGGTTTTCACCAATTCTTCTCTCATAAAATTCCTTGTAGAGAAGATTATGGCCAAAAGACTTTTTAGGCAATTCCTTACTTCTCTTTAGATCTGTTACCCTTTTTTTGTCAATAATGGCAGGTTTCATTAAGAATTAAAACAGAATACAGTGAGTGCAAATAAAGAGGAGAGGTAAACTCTCTTGACTCTCCTCAAAAAGCTTAAAACAAAATTACAATTGACCCCCAAAAAGTATGTTTCTTCCCACTCCTTGTTTTGCTAGAAAATCAGCCAAGGCATTAGCAGTTCTTTTAACCCACATAAGTTTCGCATCCATATCTTGTGTCAGCCATTTGAATTTCTTCACTGTTCTAGTTCCAAGGTCCAACTTCTTTAGATCTGTTGCCTTTTTTTTTGATAAATCTTTAGATCCGTTGCCTTTCAAAATTGATTTGACGAAGTATATGCTGTTGTATCACTTGGATTTCATGATTCATGGCTGAGGATGTTGCAGCGAAGTTTTTTCAGTAACATGTTCTGAGAGTCTCTAAACTTGTTTTTCGGTGCATTTGATTACATGAAAGTTGAAACAAAGCTCATGTAGGACTTGTATGCATGATAAGTAGCAGGCTTGACAGGAACGCTAAGAATGAATCTGAGGCCCTAAAATCCATTTTATTTTATATGGTGATAGTTGTTCTTAGTATTGATGACTTTTTCATATGATAAAAATTGCAAGTTTTCTTTTAAATATATGAAATTAATTACATGAGCTTGATCTGTTTATTGAAAGTTGACAACTCTTTTTCTTTTATCATGCTAGGTTTATATTTGGCGCCTGAAGTTTATAAAGATGAAATATTTGACAGAAGTGTTGATGTATTTTCGTTTGGTCTCATTCTTTATGAGGTACTTTTATGAATAATAGAATCATCATTACCATTTTCAATTCTATTACCTACGTGAAAATTTAATAGATGAATGTGAGTTTTTACATTTGATTGGGACTATGGAACTAATCAACCTTGGACATGCCATTTAGACTTCCACTGAGATGTCTTGAACCGTAGAGTACAAAAATTGTGAAGGCCAAGCTGGTGCCACTGAACTGCATCATCTGGATCCTCTTCTATTGCCTGCTTAGTGTGTACAGAGCTCGCTCTTCCACTTCCGTCAAATCATTATGTCCAGTTTCAAACGTTGCTGCAATTTCATGCTGAGCCTTGTGAGCCATGGCAAGTCCTGCCCATGCTATCCGAAGCTCAATTGTTGTAGATTCCCCTTCTCTGAGTATTGAAGCCATTTCATTCGCAGCTATGAAAGTTGTTCAGTGGGATCTTGAGACCTTTCTGCATCCTTGATATGATGAAGCGCAACAGCATATCGAGTTGACATGCAATTAGGCTCCAGTTTTGCTGCCTTCTC